GGGGCCCAGCCGCAGGGCCAAAGCCGGCTTCCGTGAGGTACGTCTACTTCCGAGTTACGAACCACGGGCTGAGCGATCTCTTCCGGTTCGACCTGGGAACTTGAGCGAAGCGGGGCGTGGCCATGGCAGAGAAGGCGTCACCTTTTTCCTCGTAACCGGCTGTAAGGCTTTCCCAGTTGGGGCAGCAAACCCGGGTACCGGAGATTTCCTGGATGGCGGGGCCATTAAAGGGGAGGGTGAGGCGGAGCAGGGCGAGCTGAGGCGCGGCGCCGTGAGCCGGACTTCGGCTCTAAATTCCCACCGGGTGTAGAAGTCTGAGTGTTTCCCAGGACCGATGAGACACTTACTTGCGGCTTAAAACTCCTCTATCAGGCTTCGTGCTAGGCCCGTGATGGGCAGAGAGTGTTGTGCTCGCTCTAGCTCAGGAGATGGGGCGTGCGGAAGGGGCAGAGAGGTTAATGACTACGGAGCAGACGGAGGAGGGAGGGCCCCGTTTCTGAAAAGAAAGGAACCCTGAGAAGAGGCGCACCGCCCAGTTGGCTTAGTCGCCAAACCCCACCCGGATTGCTGGGGACAGTTTGTGGGCGCTGGGAGGTAAGATGACCAGCAGAAGCACCTTCAGGAAGTACCCTGGAGGGATATTGGGATGGGGGAATGAGCCCACAGGAAAAGTGGGAGTGTGGGACTGGGAGAGAAGCTTAGAAAACCAAAAAGATTCTTCTAAAAGAGTGGTCTGCACACCCACTCCACAACACACACACGTATGTACGTACGTATGTACGTATGTACGTACGTATGTACTGGCCTGTGGCCTGTTAGGAACTGGGCTGCACAGCAAAAGGTGAGTGACTGGGGAGCCAGCGAAGCTTCTTCATCTGTATTTACATCCGCTCCCCATCACTGCCATTACCTCCTAAGCGCCGCCACCTCTCAGATCAGGAGAAGCATTAGACTCTCACAAGAGCACGAACCCTATTGTGAACCCAGCTGTGAACCCAGCATTTGAGGGATCTAGATTGCTACATTTTATGAGAATCTAATGCCTGATGATCTGAGGTGGTAATGTTAGTGAAGGGGAGTGGCTGCCGATGCTGCATCATAGTGGGTTGTATAATTATTTCATTATATATTATGATATAACAATAGGAAAAATGCACAATAAAGGTAATGTTCTAGAATCACCCCCAAATCATCCTCACCCCCCACCCCATCCTCTGGAAAAATTGTCTTCCTCAAAAGCCGTCCCTTGTGTCAAAAAAGGCTAGGAACTGCAGTTCCAAAAGAGGAGTTTGGCGGCCAGCAGGTGGTGTGGGGGATAAGGGTGCTGGATAACCCACATGTCTGACCGGTTTGAGTCTTGGATCTGGCAGCTTGCTTTCTCGCTTTCCCTTTCTCTCTCTCTCTCTGGTCAAATTAAAAAATAATAATGACAAAAATAACAAATGGAATTAAATAAATAAATAATTCTTTTAAAACAAGTTTGATTTGTTTTATGCTTCCTTCAAGGCTTACAAAGGTGTAGCAGCTCTAGAGAAATATCTCAGCTCAGAACAAGGAAGATCCAATTCCAAAGCTGTCTAGCAGCAAGGCAAGCCTCTTCAAACAGTTGTCAAGCACACTTCAACTGGACATTGCCAGGGGATTCAAGTGTCAGGAGACTGACCTTCCTAGTCTCGACAGTATATGATACCACTGCTTCAAGAGTCCCCACCTCATTTCCTCTCCTGTGGACTTGCTTAATGAAAATTACCTATTTTATTGCCCACAAAAGATTGTTTTCTGAGACATGGTGTAGTAGGCTATACCAGATAACCGCATAGTACATATAGTATAATATTGTCACTAGATGAGAGTTAACAGGTGAGGATTAAGCAATGAAGATTTAGCTGCGATTTGATGGTTGATAAAGGATGCAAAGAGCTAGAATAGATAACCCATTCAGAGGGGACAGTGAAACTGTGAAGCAGAATTGAGTTTGGCGAGTTTAAGGAATAGGAAGGAGTGAGTGTGGTTGGAACAAGGTGACTGAAGAGAAGGAAGGAGATGAGAAGAGAGAAGCCAGTAGGGTTAGATCCCATTAGCCCTTGTAGTTCACGGTATAGATTTTGATCTTTATTACTAGTCTTGCAATTGCACTGACCCCCATGCCCTGTGGTTAAGGTGGCCAAATACCACATGGCCCACTGTGCAGTTCAAATCCAGGCCCAGAGGTTTGAAAAATGAGCCCAAATCCCAATAGCAAGGAGAAATGGAGACGAAATTACAGTGTGACCACACCTTATTGGGATTGGGGCACCTCTCTCACTGTCTTTCTAGTGAGTGCATGTGCCTTCTGGCAATTGAAAAAAATGATTATAATCAGGAGCATCTGCTATGATTTAATTTTAAAAAATCATCCCTCTGGGACTGGCAGGTGACTTGGTGGTTAAAGCGCTGGATTCTCGCATGGCTGACCATATATTGTGGAGATAGGGCCACAAGGACTTGGTAGATTGGATTGAATATGGGATATTAGAAAAGAGAAAAATTGGGGATAAGACCTAGAGTTTTGACCTAAGAAACTAGGTGGCTGGAAGAGCCCCCGCTTCAGAGTATATCCAGAACCTAACCCAATCTACTGGCTTTTCCACAGCCTCTTGGTTCAGGTCCCCATCATCCATCATCTCTTCCCTGGACTATCACAAGAGTTTCCCAACTAGTCTCCAAGCTTTTATCCTTGCTTCTATCCCTTCTCCAATTTATTCATAACAGCTGGACTCCCACATGACCCACCATGGTTTGAATCCTAAATCTGGTGGCTTGCTTTCTCACTCTGTCTCTCTCTTATGAATGCACATGTCCTATAGCAAGTTAAAAAAAAAAAAAAGATAAGTAAAATACTTATTGTAAAAAAAAAAAAATTAAGAGATTTTTGCTATAGGACTCATGTGCTTGCCAAAGAGACAGAGAGACAGAAAATGAGAAGTCACCCCCCAGGGGGGATGACTATGCTGCAAACCCTTCTCCATTCTCTCAGGATTTTGGGCATGGATGCACATGCATCTGGCATGAATTCAAAGCCACCAAGTCTGGGTCTCGAACCATGGGAAACTATGTGGAAGTCCAGCAATGTAATCATTACTCCATCTGATGGTCCCGTTAAAAAAAAAATTAATAAAAATTGCAGGGAATGGTAAGTGGCATGGTGGTTAAATCACTGGACACTCCCACATGGCTGACCATAGTTCAAGTCCTGGACCTGGTGGCTTGCTTTCTCACTTTCCCTCTATTTCTCTCTGTGTCTCTCTGATCAAATTAAAGGAATAAATAAAATAAATAATTATTTTTTAAAAATAAAATAAAAATTGCAGACCCCAAAGGAAAAATAAAAGGAAAAAGAAAAAAATAGAAATTAAAAAAAAAAAAAAAAGGAAAAGATGGGGACCAGCAGGTGGTGTGGTGGTGAAGGTGCTGGACACTTCCATATGGCCAACCACGGTTTGAGTCCCAGACCTGGTGGCTTCCTTTCTCCCTTTCCCTCTCTCTCTCTCTGTGTGTGTGTCTCTCTCTGGTCAAATTAAAATAAATGAATGAATAAAGTTAAATAAATAATAATTTTTTAAAAAATAAGGAAAAGATAATGAAGAAGGGATTCCAGTGTGGCCGTGCCCTCTAGGGTGGTGATTTCTTGCTTTCTGTCTCTGTATCTCTCTGTCTCTCCAGGGATGAACACACCTTATAGCAAAAATCTCTCTAAAAGAGTAATAAAGGAAAAAAAACCCTTCCTAGCTTTTAGCCTTTATCATCTTTTTTTTTTAGAGAGAGGTTTTTGCTATAGGGCAGGTGCACTTGCCCAAAGGAGAGAGAGAGAGACAGAAAGTGAGAAGTCACCTCCTGGGGGGGATGGCCACACCACAATCCCTTCTTCTCCATTCTCCTCTTGGGATCTTGGGCACTCACACATGCCCCGTGTATGTTTAAGCCACTGGGTCTGGGACTCGAACCGCAGTCGACTGTATGGGAGTACAGCGTCATAGCCATTACACCAACTGCTGGTCCCATCATCTGTTTTTTTTATTTTTAAAGAATTTTTATTGGGGACCAGCAGTTAGTGTAATGGCTGTGTCGCTGGACTCCCATGTAGTTGACTGTGGTTCGAGTCCCAGAACCGGTGGCTTAAACTCACGCCAGGTGTGTGTGTGTGCGTCCCCAAGACCCCAAGAGGAGAATGGAGGAAGAAGGGAATGCGGCGTGGCCATCCCATCTGGAGGGTGATTTCTCGCTTTCTGTCTCTCTGATGAGTGCACGTGTCCTATAACAAAAACCTCTCCAAAAAAAGAGAGAATTATTTAATTTGATTGATTGATTTAATTTGACCAGAGAGGGACTGAGTGAGAGAGAGAGAGGGAAAGTGAGAAAGCAAGCTGTCAGGTCCAGGACTCGAACCACAGTTGGCCATGTGGGAGTCCAGCACCCTTAACCACCATGCCACCTGCTTGCTACAAGGTATGTGTGCTTGCTAGAGGAAGACAGAAAAAGTGAGGAAGCACCCTCTGGGGGGATAGCCATATCTCATTCCCTTCTTATCTATTTTCCTTTTGGATCTTTGGGCACATGTGCATGTGTCAAGTGTATTTTTTTTTTTTTGAGAGATTTTCACTGTAGGGCGCGTGCACTCGCCAGACAGAGAGAGACATAGAGACAGAAAGCGAGAAATCACCCCCCAGGGGGGATGGTCACGCCGCAATCCCTTCTCCTCCATTCTCCTCTCGGGATCTTGGGCACACACGCACATGCGCCCGGCGTGAGTTTTAAGCCACCGGGTCCGGGACACGAACCGCGGTTGACTACGTGGGAGTCCAGCGACACAGCCATTACGCTAACTGCTGGTTCCCATCAAGTGTATTTTTCAAGTCACCAGGTCCAGGATTCAAAATGAATAGTTGGCCATGTGGGATCCAGTCACCACACCATGGGCTAGCCCACTTGTGTTTAATGTTTATTATTTCTTCCATGAAAGAGACAGAGCTCCACCTCCAATAGGGTCTCTCTTACAATCCACCCCTCAGTCTCAGCCAGTCCAGACTATGGGCACATGTACCTGGTGTGCTCAGGGAGATCCTAGGATGTTTCCTACATGGGTCCAGCTGCAATAGCATTGCAGGACCACCTGGCCCTTAGCTCCTCTGACATGACACAAATTACACAGCTCAGTCTAAAAGCCAGAATCATGCTTAGTGAAGAAACCTAGATTCATTCCCATTAAAGTTAGGAATGTGATAGAATGACCCCTATGCCTATTTTTTTAATTGAACATGAACATTGCTTTGAAAGCACTGGTCCACATAATTACAAAAGAACAAAAGGGTTTTTTTGGTATGTTTGTTTGATTTTTAGGTTTTTGCCATAGGGTGTGTGGTCTCAAGGAGAGAGACAGTGAGAGGGAAAGTAAAAAATCACCCCCAGGGGGATGGCCACACTGTAATACCTTCTCCTCCACTCTCCTCCTGGTATTTTGGGCATGCACAGATATGCGCCTTGCATAATTTTCAATCTTCCAGCCCCAGGTCTTGAACTGTGGTTGTCCATGTAATAGTCCAGTACCTGCTGGCCCCAGAATGAGATTTAAAAACTAGAGGAGTTTAAATATTTGTGACATGCAAAATTCAAGGATATCAGTAGAAAAAACTAATACAAATAAGATATTTTAGCAAAATTGGCACAATTGTATATATATATAAACTGCCACTTAAGAAATATAAGGGAACAAAAATGATCATTTACAATAGCATCAACAAAGTAAGCTAGCCAAGAATAGTCTTAACATTAAATGTGCCACATCTAAGTGCCCAAAACTAAAATGCTATCAAATGACACAAAGGAGGCTTAAATAGATGGAAAGGCATACTCTATTTTTTGGTAGAAAGACTCACTGTCATAAAAATGTCATCTCTCCAATAGATCAATCTATAAATTTAACACAATCTAATAAAAATATCATCAGACTACATAATCAGAATATAAAGTTCATATGGAAATGTTTGCATCAAGCCTAGCCATGAACATTTTGAAAAAGAAGAGAAATGAGAGGAGAATAACTTTACCAATATTAAACCATTGAAAGGCACAACCATTAAAATAGTAAAATCCAGAAGACACCAGCACATGCAAAGGCATTTTGATCAATAGAACGAAACAGTCGAGACCAACCTAAAACATTAAAAGTGTTAGTGAATGATAAAGACGGTATTGTTTCTCAGTGAAAAAAGATGGACTAATTACATAATAAGTAGTATCGAGACACTTGTGTAGCCACCTGCAAAAAAAGAATGTAGTGTCTCTACTTCAGT